GGCACCTAAAGCCCAGAAAGGGGAATTTGCCCAAATCTACCCATTTAGTTAGTGGCAGATCTGCCTTATTCCAGAACCTATGTGCTTACCCACTATGCTTTACTGCTTCCTAACTCAAGGCAGAGCAAGTTAGATGTTAAAGGTGAAAATAAAGTTATATGTAGGCCCAAGAGGTGAACAACGGCTCCACGATGTCCAGTGAGGGGAGAGTAGACTTTGAGGTGAGGCAGACCTGGGAAAATCAGTCCTACGGAAAACCCACTACTATTATGGACTACTGGACTATACTGGAATATTTTGCTGAATTCACATGCCTACAATATTTAAATGACAATGGAATACCCATCTCTGCCAAAACTAAACAAAAAGGGGGATGCAAATGAAAGACCATTTTGTATCTGTATATTCAAAAGTTAGGATAGATACACAGCTACTTTCTCTTAATTCAATGAATAGAAAGATTTGTACTAATGGTGTTTGTGGACAGGATATCATGTCTGAATCTTGTACTATGAATAACCACTATGAAGACAACAATATGCAATGTATTAATTATTGAAACTGTCCTCCTAATCGGTTTTGAAACTGTCTCATTGCTATTTGTTTCTCAATAAAATTATTTAAAAATCACTTAAGCTCTGTTAGCCTCATTTGACTCATTTGTACAATGGGGGGATAAAGAATAGGCCCTACCTTGTAGATGTGAAGCTTGAATGAATTAACTAGGTAAAGCATTGAGAGTAGTGCTGGACACACACATGCGACATAAATTTTAGCTCTCATCATCACCATCATGGGGGGAGCAGGCAGAGAGGAATGGACTGTAATAGTACTTCACTCAGGCTTCAGTGGCTGGAGGTGCAGATTGAAACTTGGGGTGTAAATTGCCAGAGAGTTCCCTTCCATAGTTGATTATGTAAGAAGGTGAACTCCGTGTAGAGAAACAAAGTCACTCACCAAATTGTCTCCTTGTTTGAAAAGGTGGAATTTGCTATTGCTTTTGGCTAGGACATCATCTCCCAAAGGCCCTGTAAGAATGAATGCTATAGCTGGGAAGTACAATTTCAAAACACTGTCACCATTAAATCCCAGGCTCAAGCACATTCATCAGATTAGCCCCAACAGAGATTGGTGCTTTTGGAGAAAAAGAGCATGAACAGTGTCGATAGCTACTAAGAAGACAGATGTGGACATAGTCCTTCCTTTCTGATTAGTTCTAGGAGGCCAGAGAAAGGCCCCAAGGTGGAGTAAGGGGCAGATCAGGCCAAGGAAAAAATGACATTAAATAGGCAACTTCTGTGGACAGGGACTGTGCAAAGTATTTTACATGCAATATTGCATTTAACCACTCAGCCATAATATCTTAGTCTGTTCCTGCTGCTATAATAAAATATTTGAGATTAAATAATTTATAAAAAGTAAAAAATATATATATAGGTTCAGGGACCTGTGTCCAAGATCAAGGTGCTGGCAGGTTTGTAGTCTTCTGAGTGCTTTCTAGCTTTCTTTCTTCTAGATGGCAACTTGAGTGTCACTTCCTCTCGAGAAGATTAGTATGGTGTCCTCGCATGGATAAACAAAACGTGTCCTACAATCTCTTCTTATAATAGCATGAATAGCCCCTTTGTTAGGGCTGTACCCTCATGACTTAATTACCTTCCAAAAACCTCCTTCTTTTGATACCAACACTTTGAAGTTTAGTTCTAACACATGAATTTTTGCAGGACATATACACTCAAACCATAGCACATAGTTAGGTAAGCAACATTACTTTCATTATTATGCTAACAGATGAAAAAATTAAGTCTGAAAAAGGTGCAATATCGTCAGTGTTTAGCCAATGAATGGGATTGAGAGACAGGATTTGGAATGAATTATAACATGAGTTATCTTAATATCATACTGCCCACATAAACCCACAGTACAAAGAGGCAGGCAAGTGATGAGCACAGCCGTAGCTGGTGGTGATAGCGTCACACACCACATGACACCGAACGGCTTGAGCACAGGGCCGGTGTGAAGGGCATAGACTGCTCCCACACAATTTAGTGTCTCATCTCTATCCCCAACAATATTCGAAGACTGACCCCCACCTCTAGGGTTGTGCCTCACTGTGCATGACTGGAATTTGAGCCTTGCCCTGACCAAGCGCAACAATGATTTTACAGTGGCTTGCTGCCTCAGAGTCTGAAAAGTCTCGTGGACCTCTTTCCCACCTCTAGTGACACATCTTGATGCATCTGTTCTGCAGATATTCATTTACTAGTATCATCTTCCTGCAAAAAGACAGTATAGGGTTCTGCTGTTGGTTATTTACTTGACAAGTAGTTATGGAGTGTCAGCTGTGCTGGGCACTGTGCTATGTCACTCTAATTGGGCAGGCAGAGGCAGACAGGAGAGCTCCTTATTTCAGTACAACACCCAGATACATGGAGCTACCAAGGGTTCCCCATGAGCAATCAACATCCTATTTCTGGCCTCCTAGGCCTTGATGGACTCCAGAGTTGCCACAGTGGTGGGCAACACTTTTTGCAGAACAGCAGGCACACAGAGTGTGGCATGTGGGTGTAGTTGTAGCTGTCATTAAGAAGGCAAAGGCACTGTGGCCAAGCGTGGCCTGAGAAAAGAAAGAAGAGAGACGAAATATTGGGTCTCTAGGAAGACAGATGTGATTTGGTGAAGTGGAGAGAAAGGCTAGATTTTTAAATGATTCTCTGAGTGTCCAGCTCTTTACATATTGCCTCACACGAATACCTTCAGTTTGTTGCTGTTTGGCTTTAATTTATGTTGGTTTACTTCTGTGACGCCCCCAACTTACCATATGCAAAATGCATACTAGGTAAGGTGAGAAAAAAAGTATTGTAGGAAAAGGAAGAATAAAATGATGACTTTAACCCAGAGCTACCCAATAGAACTTTCTGCAACAATTGAAGCCACATGCGACTGCTGAGCAACTGAAATCTGGCCAGTTTGCCAAAGGATTTGAATTTTTAACTTTATTTAAAGCATGGGTCAGTAGCTACTGTATTGGAAAGCAGTGCTCTAACCACTTTGCAATGACCCAAACACATCCTAATAGAGGAGCAACTAAACACAGTGGCCTATATCAATTCAGTTTCGAGGGGCACTTGGTTGGGTTGGCATAGACTTACTCAGTCGAGGATTGGGCCTCCAAGTTTTCTAAAAATGACAAGTTTCCCAAAAAAGATGTTTGCTTCATATTTCTTTGGCATCTGTAAGTGCTTCTGATCCATTCCTTCATTTGATCCCATGACGACCATGAAGTGGGTAGGGCAGAGATTAGCAACACCTCAAAATCCAACACATTTAGGTGACAACAGGGAAGCCCTACAGCAGGTAAGGGTGGAGCCTGGAGGTCACACGTTTCTCCTCCTGGTTGAAACTTCCCAGGGGCGTAGCAAAGGCAGAAGGGTCTCATGCTCTCCATGCCCATTGCTCATAGTGTGAGACTCTCAGATGAAGAGACGTTTGCTTCATATTCCTTTGGCACACTTGATGTGGCTAATGGGATCATAGATAGTGAACAAGAATCCTGTGGTTTTCTCTCCCCATTCCCTTGATTCAGCAAATAATGGTGTATTTGAAACAGTCACATATTCAAAATTACATATTGAGCTTGAATCATGTCCTGGGAGCTGTTGTAGATCTGGAAGAACAGCCATGAACAATGCAAAGATTCCTCTCCCATGGAGTGACATTTCTGGGGGACAGAGGCTGATACTAAATAATGTACATATTAGAAGTTTATAATATGTCAAAAATATTTCCTAGCAATATATCGTGGATTTTCACCTCTTTTATGGCACACTAAAACACTATCCAATATACCTGTTTTGTAAATCTCGACTTGTACTTCAAGCAAACTGCCTGACTTGCTGGAAGGTGGAAAGACTTTTTGATATAGTCTTTTAATATGTGTTGAGTGCCACCTATGTGCAGAGCATGATATTGGGAACTTTGGAGCGATCCAGAACAATGAGAGGACAGGGTTCTGTCTTAAGTGGATTCCAGTCCAGTGCAGTTTAGGAGCATGCAGGTTGTCAGGACCGAGGATCTAAAGGCTAACGTCTTCAGAATACACTTATAAAGGGGAATCCCAAGGACAGGTGGAATGAATCCAGCCTGAACTGCATGGAGTTGGGTAAACTGTCCTCCTCTTATAATGATGGGGAACTAGATAGGGACAGAACAAGAAAGGGGACATTGTAGGAGCTGTCACATGGGCCAACAGCGAGGAAGAACTGAGGGGCAGCCCCTCCTGGATCATTGTTGTCTTGAGAAGGTTTCTGGATCTGATGAGCGCTGGGAGACTGCTTTGAAAATGAGGAACTCATGCCTCAGGCCATTCCAGGTAGAGGGAGCCTCCTGCTAGCCAGGGGAAGCAGGGTGCTGGGCAGTTAATCAGGCTTTAAATACAAGCCAGGCAAATGTCCCTCGTCTGATTCCAATTGAAGATGCAGAGGAGCAGAGGACTTCTATGTTGGGAAGTCCTGATCAAACCCTGGGGGATGCAGAGTCCAAGCGGGGAAGGACCACAGTCAGGGTCAGAGAGGATGGGGTGAATGGGTCCTGAGTGCCTGGCTTTCTAGGCAGCAGTTAAAGAAGCAGGTGAGAAAGAGTTAAGTGTGCCCTCTCCACCTCCCCAAAGGCTTCCTGTGTTTGAAACCCTTCTGGTCTTCGCAAACCCTCGGGCCCCGGCCAGGTGGGCATTGTACCAGGAGCAGTTGTGAGTTGTCCGTTGTCCGAAAAGCTGGGCAGCCTTTGTTATGGGGCCACCTCGGGGTTCCCTCTCGCGTCCTGGCTGGGGCCGCAAAGTGTGTGCCGTGAGGGGGTGGTGCGGGAGGCTTGCTCCTTCTGGTTCTTCCTGCCCCCCCCAGACCTCCCGATGACCACATGACCAAGTGGGCTCGCAGCCAAGCCACAAGCTACAAAATGCGGCCCTTGGAATGAGCGAGGAGCATTCTCGCTGGCAGCTCGGGCCACGCACAGTTGGAGCTGAGGCAGAGCAAAGCAAGTCGCTTGGAAAAGCTCCCCACTGCCCCCGGAGCTTCCGAGGCCGGCTTCGCTGCGCTGCCCCGCGGAGGCTGAGCGACGCTGCAGGAGAGCTGAGGCGAAGAGCAGGCGGGCGGCTGGCAGCCGGCGGCACAGCCGGGGTTCGCACACGCTTCGCGCCCGCACGCGCCAGCCAAGGCTTGAGTCTTTCTTTGCCTGGGGCGTCCGGACTCCTCTCCCTCCCACCGGCTCAGCGGGGCGGGCGGTCTGAGGAGCAGCATGAATCTGCGGCTCTGCGTGAAGGCGCTGCTGCTGCTCTGGCTCTCCTTGACTGCGGTGTGTGGAGGTGAGTGCGCGCCCTCCCGCTTGCCCGCTCTTCCTGGCAGCTCCCGGGCTGCAGGGCACGCTCCATTCCCTCCGCCCCGCTTGCACTCTCCCCGCCTCCCTGGGAGCTGGGCGCGAGCAGTGCAGGAGCAGCCACGCGCGGGCAGCAGATTGACTGGCAGCCCTGGGCTAAAGGCGGCAGGCTGTGGACGGCTTCCTCTGAAAAGGGTTGTGGGAGGTTCCACTGGGGTCTCTGCCATCCCTAGCCAGGCGCCATGCCCTCCTGGCTGTCTCTTGCAGTCCGAGGTGCTCAGGGGCACAGGCATGTACCCGGTACCTCCCACTCTGCAACGCACGTGGTGGGGGCATGGAGCGTGCCCTGGTCCCCCTGTTGGATCAATGGAGGGAACTGAGCTGAGCTGTGTGGACTGAGCTCTCCCTCACGGTGAAGGTCTGTGGGCTCCTGGAAGCTAGGGGCCGCTGGTCTGTCCAGGGAATGATGTGCCAACATGCAGACGTGACACTAGTTGCATAGGCAGGAGCACGGGGCGGGGGCAGCAGCAGCGCGGATCCCAGCTGTTGCTCCTTGCAGCCTGGAAACCAGCAGAGGCAGCCTCCCCCAGGCCTTGCCAGGCCTGGCTTCTGACTCAAGGTCCATTCTGGTCTCCCCCTCTGCTTCGGCATAGGAGGCCTCCCCACAGTGTCCACACTTCCCCAGGGCCTTGGCTCTCTCACATCTTGGCTGCAGCCTTCACTCTGCCCCAGGCACAGGCAAACCACCTTCCTCTCCCTGTCTCAGGGACCAGACCAGCAAAACAGGCACCTGATCTGACACCTCCATGCAGCCCATGCAAGGGGAGTCTTCACCCTCAACTGGTGCCCCCACACACCTGACAATACTTGGCACTTGTGCCTCCTGCCTGCCCCAAGCCTGGTTCCCACCCATGCTCCAGCAGCCACTACCCAGGCTGCCTGCGCTCTGTGCGTCAGTGTCTCCTGGGGCTGCCAGCTCCTGCTGTCCTGTGATCTGGCTGTCACTGCTGCCTGCCTGGCACCACAGAAGGAGAAGGCTAAGACCAGGTGGACTAATGCCAGTGCCAGGGCTGGGTCACAGGGAAGTGAAAGCCAAGGGACGAAGAGGACAGGGCAGCAAGTTTCCTAGAGGAAGGGCACAGGGCCCTACTTGGTTCCCAAAACTGCAGAACAGGATGGCTCACAGCCCAGGAGCCTCTGGGGGCTGCCAATGCTGCTGGCTGCTTTGTAGACCACCTCCTCTCTCTGCTCCTGTTCTTGGGTACTGCCCCCATATGGGAGTGCTGCCTGCCTTCTAGCACCTCCTACCTCCAGGTAGCTGTCCAGTGAGCCCTTGTTCAAGATCTCAGCACAGAACCAGCCATTTCCTTGCAGGAGAGGGATCAGGTTTTCTCCTCAGAAAGTCCTGCTGGACACAGTGGCAAGAAGCTCTCAAAAGATATGAATAAAGACCCCTCTCCCCGCTGGAGCCTATATCCCAAGAGGCAATGTAGTTGGTGAGACAAAAACACTTGCAGGATTGGCACTGCAGGCAAATGGCCCATGGTGGCACCTTCAGGGAATAAAGAGTGGGTGTGAGAAGGGTGTCCCCAAGGAAACTGGGGTGTGCAGATCTGCATACCTGGTGCTTTTCTGGAGGCCACTAGGAGATTCTTGGCTGATAGGCACCATGCGAACCCTTTGGCAGTGCGACCGTTGGGGAAGTTCTAGCACAGGAGAAAGCTAGTTTCAAGGGAAGCGAAGTTGGCTAGGCTGCCAGAATGCTATAAGCTTCTGGCCCAGACCCTGCCACTTCTTGCTTTTATTCACCTTTTTTAATTAGGTAATCTGCACACCCCAATTTCAGTGCATTCCATGTACATTCAGGAGCTCCTCACATTTTTGCTTAAGCCCATTGCTGGAAACTTCCAAGGTCTCCACTGTGCTTCTGCCCTCTGACCTTTCCTGCAGCCCAGGAACACATGTCCTTGGAGGTAGCTACCAGCCAAGGATCCAGGTACTCATGTTCTATCCTACTTCTCTTGCCTTTTCTCCTGTCCTAGAAACAGGCACCCCCCAAAATACTTTGTCCCTGGCCCAGTTGTACACACTCTCTCCAGCTGGGTCACCAAAGCTCCAGGCTGGAAAACCATGTATTTTCTCTCTATACATGTTCTTCCTTAACATGGGGTGGCAACCCCTCTGCTACCTCCTGATCTGGGATGCACTTTGCTTTTCTGAGTCTGAGAGCTGCTGGATCCTTTGAGCACCTCTCTTTCTCCTCTCCTGCTCAAAGCAAATTGTCCTAGTGTCAGTGTGAGGACAGCCTACTGTACCCCTCCCACTCAGGGGGGCATCTCCACCCTATCACCTTTCTATGTGCTAAAGCACCCTTGTATCCTGGGCCAAGCCTTCAGCAGGAAAAGACTAGAGGAAGTCAAGAGGAGGTTTAGGCTGCCAGAGCCTGGTATACCCATGACAGCAAAGCTGGTACCAAGAGATAGCGCAGGACCCCTGGAGCAGGTGAGTGGGGCTGAAGGCTGTGCAGAAAAGGGAAAGGTGCCTCATCCTGGAGACACATGCAGTGCCACAAAATGGCAGAAGGGTCATTGCTAGTCGGGCCCCTATCAGAGCATAAATGTGGGCTTTTAAAGCAATCATAATCATAAAAGAGGCCATAATGTGAGAGGGAAGCCAGGTGTGCCATTCCTGGTGATGGTGGGGGTTCCTGAAAAGTCACATGTAAGGACCTGTTTGTGCACTGGCAGGATTGGAGTCCAGGGCTCGTGAAAAGCAGATCTAGTGTCCCCTTTCCACTGGGGTATAGGGGGGTTGCCACTGCTTCATCATGACTGGAGCTTCAGTGGGCAATGCCTCCAGCCCCTCTGGCTAGAGCTTCTTGAGCACTTGGCTCCTACCTCCCTTTAAGCAGCAAATGAGTTGGGGAAATGACAAAGTGTGCTGGGGGTGGCCCCCATTTCTAAAGAGGAGTTCTTTTTACAGCAAGGACTCCTGTCAGAATGAGAATCAACAGCCTTAAATTCATCCCTTTGGCAGGCCAAAGCCAAGGTTTCAGGCATCAGCTTATCTGACATTAAGCCAGACTCAGCATCACAAGTAGGAAACAGGTGGGTGACCAGTGCAGGGAGTAGGAGAAGCCTGCAGACTTCCTCCCATAAGGACAAGGAGCCCCTAGTCAGTGGGATGCAAGAGGCAAGGGGTTTCTGGCTGGCTGCTATCCAGGGCCTGGCTGCTACTCAGTAAGCTCAGTTTGGCTCTTCTCTGCAGGCCTAGAGTCTTCCTGGCCACAGTCTGAGCCACTGTCCCTGCCTAGCATCATGGACCTTGATCTCCCTCCCTGTAGGGCCCTTCCTCCAGCCCTCCCTTCCTCCCTGCCACAGACAAAGGCTTGAGTGTGAGCACATGGGGGTGACACTGTCCCTTTCCCAACATCAGGCCTCTTTTCCCCACTCCTGTGGTGCCATTGTAGCCCTTTCCCTGGCAGTTGAAGGCATGGAGAAGAGATCCAAGGCTTCCCTTACATTTTCAAGGCCCTTGAGGACCTTCCCTTTTGCCGGGCCACATGCTCAGCACAGTGCCTACCATTAGCACCTCAATGTGTCTCTGCTATCAGTGCCTCATCAGTGGCATTCAGGTCCAGCTTCAAGACACAGCGTGTGCCTTGAGGGGACACTAAAACTCAGGGCCTGAGGTGGAAAAGCTGGGCTAGGAACCAAATAAAGGTCCTGCCCACATCTTCCGAGCCTTAGCCCCTTCACAGATGGCACCCAGAGGGGAGCTCTTGATCCGCCAGACAGGAGTTGCCTCCCTGACCTGGTCATCCATTCTGCTCCAACATGTTAAGGAAAATCTTTGTTTTAGTTCCTGTAAATTGTAAGTTTAGAGACTGAGGTGACACATTAATCCACCCTGACCATTGGCACCAAAGTGTGGCTAACGAAACCAAGTGAATTTGGTAAATCATAGAGCCCTAAGGGGTATGGCACTTCTTTGTGGAGAAGGAAAGAGGGTGCAGAGTTAGAGAATATAGCTGTGCAGGGGGAGTGTGCATGCCTGAGTGTGCATGAGGAGAAAGAACAGCAGACCCAGAAGCCTGGGCAAAGTGGGCCCCAAGAACACACCTCGCCCACTTCTGGCCCAAGAGGAGGCTAAATGCCTGGAAATTGTGTGCAAGCAGTGAAGAGCTCCTAAGAGCCAAGGCAGAACCAGCGTGGGGGTGCTGGAGGCAGGGGAGGGGGGAAGCAGCCAGTGGGAGGCTATGTGGAAATTGTGAGCTATGGCAGGGATTCCTGGATGGATGGCAACCAGGCTTGAAGGCCAGGGATACAGCTGAAGGCAGATCAGATGGGGTGAGGGGAGAGAGACTGGAACTCATTATTACTAGCCTCAGGCACCACAGCTCTGCAGGCAGGCCCCAGACTGGGCACTGCACATCTGCCTGTTCTCCAGCATCACCTCATCTCCCCACGCTGCCTGCCAATGGATACGAGCTTGGCTTCTCTGGCTGGAAGGCCCTGTGAAATTTACCAAGAGTGCCTTCTTCCTTATCATACCCAAGTAGAACCACCACCACTTGGATTTCACTGTCAGGGCTCAAGCTGGCATCAGACTTCTACTCTAAGCCAGATGTACACAGATGTAGAGACAAGCCTTGGATAGAAGAGTAGACTCCACATGGGGGTTGGAATAGAATTCACATCAAACACAGAATGGAAGGTGTGATCTGGGAATGATGGGAGATAGGAAAATTACAACATCTCACTCCTCTCCTGTTGCACAGACATACTGTTCATTCATTCATTCATTCATTCATTCATTCATTCAAGCAATATTTATTAGCTTCTAAATCTCATCACAGGCTGAGTATATCCAGGCATAAAGCAGGCTGAATCAGATACTCCCAGGGAAGCCTTAGAAGCAAGCCTGTGAAATGCGTAACCACTGACAGGTTACACAGGGACGAGGTATGAGATCTCTAGCAGTCAAAAGTGGGTCACTTTGCCTATTGAAGTGCACAGCAGAAAAATGACATGATGCTCAGGATTTGCTTTAGAATATTGAAGCCAAGAAGAAAGAAAAGTGATAATGGAGCATGTGTGATTCCACCTGGATAGCTGTGGAATCGGGGTGATGGGTCTATAGTGGGGGAGTCATTGTAGTGTTGTTCATGTGAAATGTTTGAGGTACACCACTTCCAAGGCCACCATGCGGGTTACTTTCTCCTGCATCCCAGCCAAGTACAGCCTTGATGCCCCCAAAGTGCACCCTCAATAGTGCTCCAAAGAAAGAACCCGTTGGTGTCTGTCAGAGACATGTTTTAACTGACATAAAATCAGCTACCTCAATGGGAAGACCTAAGTAATGGGTTCTGCTTGCTCCAGGGCACCGTATAATTGCCATAGTTTTCATCAGGGTACGGAAGAAGAGCTGCAAGGAGTGAGCGCCGCCTCATGGAGAAATGGCCCTCCCAGGCCCCCGACTTTTGCCATCCTCCTTCCTTCATCACAGGTCTTTTCCTTCTTGCAGTGCCCCTGATGCAACCTCCTGATGGTACAGCGTTGGAGGAAGGCAGTGTTCGCTACCTGGTACAGCCCAGGACTTCAAGGAATGGACCAGCGCCCTGGCAGGGAGGCCGGAGGAAGTTCCGCCGCCAGCGGCCCCGCCTCTCCCATAAGGGCCCCATGCCTTTCTGAAACAGGTACCTACTAGAACCCCTGGTCAGTTGGCAGTGCTAAAGTAGTGGGAGGGCCAGCTTAGAAGCTTGTGACCCTACCACTTATGGGCCCACATATCCAGCAAGCTGTCCTGGCACCACACACTCCTCAGGCCTTAGAACTGCCAGAGAGTTTGTAGAGCACTTGTCTAGTGCCTTTGCTTCACAGAGGGGAGACTGAGGCCAAGAGAAGGGCTTGACACCTGGGGTGGATCTCTTGACTCCCCAGCTCAGCACTGTCTCTCCTCTCCTGCTGCCTGGTGTTGGGCAGGCTAGCTTATTTGGAGAATTCTGGAAATCCTGAGGAGAATGACTGAGGAGGCATGTGCAGGGTGTACTCACAGGTCTCCAGTGTGGAGCCTTGTTAGGCCCAAGGGTGAGGAGGAAAGAGATAGAGGGTCCTAGAACTTCCAGGCCAAAGGCAGCAGGAAAGCTGTAGCTGTGGCTCTCCACAGCTGGGGAGGAGACAGGTGGCTGCAGAAGAGCAGCACCTACACCTGCACATGAGGCCAGGCCTGCTACTGAGCCCACCCGGCTGGCCCACTGGGACAGCAGCTCAGGGCCTTGGGCTTTACAGTCAGGTTCAGGGTTAGTGGTATAGGAGTAGGATGAAGATTATTTTGCCTTCTTTTCTGGAGAGGTTTCCTTGACCTAGGATGTGTCCTTGACTTCTCTCTTATCATTTTTGTCTTATTAGGACTGAAGGGTCCCCCAGGCACCAGCGCACTGTGGTTCTGTCTTCTCCACACAGCACTCTGCTTCCCTGGAGCCCCCACATCCAGCTCTCGCTTCGCACCTGTTCTAGCTGCTGATGGTCCTGGCTCTTCTCACCCACCAGCTTCATCTAATGGCGTGGTCCTGCCCCTCCTTCTGATGATTCCATTTCTCTCATAAGGATCCGTTAAGCCCATCTTCCTGGCCTCTCCCTGGACTAACTTTGGAGACCCATCCTGTCCTAGCCCACCACACTGTCCCCTACCCAGCCCATCTAGTGTCTCCACCCCATACTGGACCCTCCTCCCTCCTGTATTTGCCTTGGGATCTGGGTGGAAAACACTCCCTTCCTCAGTGCACTCCTGCAAATCATTGTTTTCTTGTCAGTGGACCCCTCAGTTGGCCTCCAGAGAGGTATTAGAAATGCAAAAGGAGAGTTTCTATTAGAGGAGTGGGTGTGGGAATTCAAAGAGTGTGCATGGGAGCACTGCAACAGGGTGTGTAGTGCCCCGGACAAGGGGTTTGTTGTAGCACTAGAGAAGTGGCACGAACAGCACCGTGGCCTCTTCTTCAACTCCATGTCTGGTCCAGGCAAGGAAGAGGTGAATGAGGAACCCAGGAAGTACTTTGTCGCACTGTTTCCTACCCTGCCCCTGATACCTCAGCAGTTATGCTAGGTCAAGTTCTGAGTCTCAAGTGGAGGGTGCTGGGCCTGGCGTGGCTCTCTCCTCTTCCAGGAGTAGAGGCTGAGCAGGAGGGCTGCTTTGGCCAAGTCATCAAGTATCAGAACTGAAAAGATCCTTGGCGAGCACTCAGCTCAGCCTCCTTATGCAAAAAAGCCTGAGATAACAGAGGACTGGAGAGGAGAGGGACTTGCTCAGGGCCACTGCAGAGCCAGATTGGGGACCAGGTCTCCCAAGTCCTGCTTTACAATATCCTTTTCCCTCTTGATGATGTCTTTCCAAAACACATGAAGTGCCTTTTGCTGAGTTTATGGTAGAGTGGCTAGGAAGGGCAGGGAGAAGCAAGCTGGCTGTGAACTGCCCCTTTTTGGGGAGACGGAGCTGCTTCCCTCTCCCTGGACTTCCCTGTTCTCCATAGGAAGGAAAGTTCCAAGAGTGATCCGCAGTGGGCCTGGGCCTGTGACACTTTAATAGGGCAGCTCAGGCCCTGGGACTAATATTCAGAGCCCACTACTGCTTTGAAGGAGCCAGAGGCAGCCTTACATAACTGACTCAATAGCCTCTGCTTGGTGTGGACTGGACGTTCCTTCCTAGTGGCCTTTCCGGGAGGTAAGAAGGTAGAACATGGAGAAAGAGAGAAGGAAGAGAGACAGGAGGATGTGCAGGTGGGGAAGCACACCATTCTGGGAAGTGCTGTCTTTCACAAGGGGCCTTCTACAGTCTCCTCTGAAGGTAGACCCTTGGCTTTTGCCTGAGTAACCTTCCTTCTCACTAGTCTTCCAGAGGGGAGAAAAAGGAAAACAGAAGCCTGTCACTCACCTACATATGCTTGAGGGCAGGGGGATTCAGGGCCCCTCAAGTCCCACAATAACCCCAATCTTTGCCCATCCCCCCTCCCCCAGTCTTTCTTTCCCTTGCTGCTGCTAATGCTGCTGCTGCTGCTACTGCTGCCATCTCAAGGCCACCCTGGGAAGCCAGGCTGGGCACGGCCTCCAACTCCTCTGGGCATAGGGTGGGGCTGATCAGTGCCCAGAAAGTCTCCTCTGCCACTGGTAGCCCCACCAGGGGCCTGACCACCTTCCTTCTCTTCCTCTTATCTGCATCCCATCCTTCATCAGCCTGCCATGACTTGTAGCCAAGCCCAGACCCACAGGGAAGGGGACAGAAGAGGGACAATGGCTGGAAAAGATGGGGGACATGGGCAGAGAAAGGTAGGGGGGACAAAGGTGTTGTCTTATTTAAAGTGGTTGTGTATGATTCTTATACTAATTTATACAAAGATATTAAAGCCCTTTTCATTAAAAAATTGTTCCCCATAATTGTATTCACTGTGTTTGTAAAGATTGTTCCATGTAAATATGTCTTTATAATAAAGAGTTAAAAGTTGACAACTTGCCCTTACTGTTGGAGGTCACATTCAGGAGGGTTGTTCCTTTCCCCTGAGGGCCACGGTTGTCTCTGTGCTCACAGATTGCATGTGCAGGGAGGTAAGTGCTTGCACCCCAAATCGGCTCTAGGTCAGCTGGCTTCAGACTGACTTAGGACAAGCTTACTAGTGGACCCTTTAAGTTTAGTGATCTGTTCAAATAGAATATGGCCCACTTTTATGTCTTTTGGCATTTGTTTGAATGTCCTAATTTTTTGGCAGTGTCATTGAAAGGGTATTTTAAAAAAGCAATTTACTTAAGAACATGCTGATTAAAGATAAGATTTCTACTAAAAGTTGTTTTGTAGTCTTGGTGGGTGTCCTTTATTTTGTCTACTTTTGAACACTTTCAGGACTTTTTAGCCAGTTTGTCTTTCTTGAAAGATCTTATATTTTCAGCAATAAATACACTTGGTAATGCCATTGTATGTATCATCTTCTGTTTCATAAAGTGGAGTTGCTTGAATGAGATAGCCTGAAAAATAAAATGCAAGGAGTTCAATGTAATTCTGTCCCATCTGTCTCACTTCTTCATGCTTGTTGTCAAAATATCAATATCTGCGGCACAGAGAGGAACATTGGGTACATGCTAATTTGGTTAATAAACTCAGTCGGTGCACACAGGCATAGATGATGCAGAGCAGAACCCATCAAGGAAACAGAAGTGATCGAAATGAGTGCCTTCAATAAATCTTGTGGGGGGGGGCTCCATAGATTAGACAAGGGTCTATTGCTTAAAATATATAATTTTAAAGAAAGTATCTTCAGCCAAACTTGCTAAAAGCCATACATGTTCAATAGGAGATAAAATAGAAACCGTCTCCCATAAGCATACAAAACTCGCATTGACAAAATGCTGCAAATTGTGATATACTGATTTTAAAATATGGCACTATGTTGGAAGGAACTCTTAGGAAAACTGGTACAAAATGCCTTATTTTAAAATTACTACTTTGACTTTTGGACAAAGTAGTCATCATAGGAACTGGATTGAGGCAGAGGTTTCCGGTAAGCTGGCTGTGCGCTTACTGGTCTGCCGTCTCCCTAATCACTCCCAATGCTCTAATTGCACATGAAACAGGAGAAAGGGGTGGAGGTGGGGTTGGAAAACAGAATACCAGCCTATAGGAGTGTAGGCTTTAACAGTTTGCAGGCCTTTAAAAATATTAACTCATTTTATCATCTTAACAAATGGGCCATGAAGACCACAATACCCATCTTACCATCAAGAAAAGAATGTAAGACAGGAGAAGCAACCTGCCCAAGGTCTCACAGCCTGTAAGAGAATCTAGAATCTAATCTTCAAATGCTAGGATGTGAACCCTACAGGAGGACAAAAGGTCCCTAACCTTAGAGAGAAGCACAAAGCACAAAATGTCTTTGGGTTTTGCAACAAGTACAGTAGAAATTTGGAAAACAAGACAGCTTGGTGGGATTGGGACAATGCATGGAGGCTGAGTGACTAAAACAGGCCCTAGATGGCTCAACAACATCTGACTAGGTGTGACAGGAGGATGTAGGACAGCAGAGGGGTGAAAGAGGAAGGAGCAGCTGCCAGTGTCCCCAGGGAATATGGCATCTGGGTGCTAGGGAGTGGACACAAGCTTGACCTCTTTGGGGCAGGAGATGAGAAGGAAAGTCTGTGTCCTTCTGTAAAGGTAATTGGATGTCAAACCCAAAGAGAGCAGGATGTGGAGGCTGTCACCCTTTGAGATGCCTTGACTTGGCCAAGTAAATACAATAGAATGAGTGTGGAGCTATTTGTCAACATGCAGAGCTCTAGTAAAAGCTGAAAGGGTTCAGTTAATTGATTGTTTCTAGACAAGAGGTCCTGGACAGAGAAGTTGAAGGATATGGGCAGAGAATCTGAAAACACTACTTCAAATCCATCCGGAAATTAGGCATCCTCTGAAATGACAGAGATTAGAGTGTCAAACAGGCACAGCCCACACACAGCTTTTTGAGCCCCCGGGTGTGGTGTCAAATGAGTCTTAGCTGCCTTGAAGTCTCTGTCGCAGGAGCCCTGGCTCATGTGTACCTCAGCTGGTTCGTCTTCTCAAACCTGGCCTGAGCCACCATTTTGAGGTGTTTATATGATTCTATTTTTCAGGCCTAAAGGTTACACAGCTGAAATGTCTCAATCCAAGGTTTTGTTCTGACCAGAGTGAACCTGTGCCAACTAATGGTCAAAGAAGATGGCGGAAAAGACTTACTCAATACCTTCCTTTCTTGGCCCAGGAAAGGCTGCTGACTCAGCCAGCAGCTTTTCTTGGGAACCCCCAAGAAGAAGCCCTTGCCAGTGCTCCTCTGAAAGGTGGCCTTTCCCTTCATAGTGTCCACTGATTGGCAAGGGAGCCTGGCAAGGCGCTCCCCTGGTTGCTGCCTTGGACTTCAGCCAAAGGTTTGAGTTGCATCCAGGGCACTTTCTTGAATGTTTCAAATCAGGTCAGCAAACTTTTTTCTGTTAAGGGCAAGAGGTTGTTTTATTTTGTTTTGTTGTTTTGCACTGGTGATTGAGTCCGCAGACACCATACCACTGAGCTGCATCCGTACTCCTTTTCTTAATATTTTATTCGGAGTTAGGGTCTTACTAAAATGTCCAGGATGGCCTCCAATTTCTAACCCTCCTGCCTCAGCCTCCTGAGTAGCTGGGATTACAGGTGTGTGCCAACAGTAGTTTCAACTTTGTGTAAGGAATATGTATTCTCTATCCCATCTATTCAGCTCTGATGTTGTGGTGCAAAAATACCATAGACAGTGAGTATGGCTATGTGCCAACCAAACTCTATGAAAACAGGTGACAGGTCATAGTTTGCCCAACCCGGTCTCAAATGAAGCACAGGCAGCCCTTCAACTCAGCCCTTGAACCTTTGCCTGGGGCTTGAAGTGAAGGCTTATGTTCTGCAGCAAGGGCTAGAGTTAAGGGAACTTCACAAACTGGTCGCTATGGCCTCTCTAGCAACTACTCATACCAGCAGTGTGTTTTCAGTGGAAGGGGAGGTCTGCAGTTAGATGAGCACTGAGATCCTGATGCTTTTCCTCATCTGTGGAATCTCGAAGCAGTGCTTCGCCAGAATGAGCCCATCTCCTCCTTTTATTTTGTTAATCTTATTGTTATTCTTATTCTTCTTCTTATTATTATTGCATTTTTTAAAAGAATACAAAATAAGTGCTGGTGAGGTAGCTCAGCAGATTAAGTGCCTGCTTTAGCAAGCACAGGGACAAGGGTTTTATCCCAGGTTCCGCATGCTATGCTGGCCTTGTCCCCTGGGGCATGCTGAGCCAGCGCCAGAATCTGGGCATGGTGGTGTAGCCCTGTAATCCCAGCACTGGGGAAGTTGAAAACAGAGGCTCACCACAAGTCCGATCTGTGTAGTGAGGTCATGTACCAAATATACAAATGAAAAAAGAAAAGAATATCAAACAGTAGGCCGG